CCTTTCATTTGGACTATTTCAGCCACCTTCTATTTTCTTCGTGTTGAATTGGGCGCATTTCCATTCTCTCAAAATGACAATATAGTTTTGGTGAATGGTATTTTTCTTGGTTGTTGTGGTCATTAATTTAGGCTCGAGACTTCACTGTGTATGTGGTTGCTTTGCATTGCTCTTAGGAGATCACTGAATTGTTCACATGCCCTGGCTATACATTTTCTGCCTACATTTGCTGCCCATCTCAATCTGCTCCTGTCTTGTGCAAGGTCTTCTATTTGCTTATTGTTAGTTCCAAGCTCTCACTGGCCTCAGATTGCCTCTCTATTAGGATGTTACTCATCCCACTCTTCGCCTGATTATCTGTTTAATTTCTATTAGCGATTTCTTCATCTTATAATTAAGGTTGCAATCACTTCTGTTTATATTTTGTTTATACATCATTTTAAAAAGAAACTCCATCACTGTATCTAAATTTGTAATGCCATTTATTATGCTAAGGGCTTGTTTAATATTTGTGACATTTACTAAAAATGTCAGCTTTGTGAGGACATAGAAGAGATTCACCATAATAAGCTAAGTTTTAGAGTAGAGCAGGAGCCAAAATGAAGATGTGTGTGTGTGTGTGCATGTGTGTGTGTGTGTGCGTGTGTGTGCACATGATGCAAAAGTATCTTTATTTTATTTTGGAGGTGGTGGAGAGCTACTGGAAGTTTTTAAGTAAAGTGATAACATGATCAAGTTTGAATTCAGCAAGAACTTTATGATTTCTCAATGCAACATGATTGGAAATGTATATGGTCAGAGGCCAGGAGATTCAGATGAGAATACTTAAGGGTAAAATTAGAGCAAGAATATATTTAATACAGTAGAATGCAGTGTCAAGAAGTGGTTAAGTTCTCTGGGAAACTATAAGGCAAAAATTGATGATTTGCTTTTTATGGCATCCACATTTGGGAAAAGAAGAAAAGGAACCCAATTGGATGGAAGTCAAGTTGTGGTGCAAACACCACGAAGGGCTCATCTGACTCCAAAGTGAGTTTTGGATCTAGAATCACCCTCAGACTTAACTCCTCATAGGGGCTCTCAGGTTGAAACTTTCTATCCCTCTATCAGTCACTCATTGAGTGTAGCCTGCCCACATGGATGGAAACAACTTGAGCAAGTGTCTCTTTCCAACAGTACCTGAAGGAAGCTGATGGTGGAAGACTGGAGCATGACAGGAAGTAGGAGAGGTAGTGGCTTTCATGAGACTTCCTAGACAGCACGTAAGCTGGGAAGAATACAGAGATATGTACAGGACCCTGGAAGAAATGAATGAATGAAACAAACATGGCTAAGATACCTATAAAAAGAAGAGTCTGCTAATGAGCAGATACAGAAGTAGTAAGCATGTTGCTATAATAAAAGCAACTGAGACAAAAATTAGAAGAATGTAACAAGAATATTGAAGGATCTCAAATTATAAAACACGATGTTTGAAAGAAATGAGAATATTTAGCCTGGGAAAGAAAAAACTCCAGAGTGAAAATGGAGAAGGAAACAGCACAGGATAATTTTAACTGGAGAAATGTCCTGGGAAGAAGTCATAGATTTGTTTTGTGTAGTATAAAACAGTAGGTAACTCCCACTCAGCATAAGGAAAAGACTGCCAATAGTCCTCCAAACAGCTCATCAGGACCGGAGTTTGAACTCAGGGCTGTGCACTTGTGAGGCAGGCGCAGTGCCACTGAACTACATCCCCAGCCCAACATAGTCTAACATGTAATTACAGTATTCTGCAGTATGCAAGACACAAGCTTCATCTTGGATAGAGACTGACTTATTCTTCATATGAATGCTATGAAATGGAGTACACTGTGAGATTTGATTAAATAATTTACCACAGTATTACATTTGTGAGAGTTCTTTGCAGCCGGAAATCTTTGGTGAATCCCGAGGACACATCTTTTGGGAATGAACATTTTGTGTTTATCTTGTGACAGGGTCAGTTCATGCTGGCCTTTATGTAACCCAGGCCAGCCTCAAACTTGTGGCTATCCTCCTGCCTTAGCCTAACAAGTGCTGGAGTTACCGTAATGCAGCACCCTGCCTTGCAAAAATGACCTTTTTTCAAATTCACTATATTTGTCTGGTTTAACTCCAGAATAAGGCCTGTTATGACAACAACAACAACAACAACAACAACAACAAAGAAAATAAAACACCTTTCCTGGGTGTTTGATTGGGACCAGATATGCTGCACACATTCCATAAATTTAGTCTTCAATATATCCCTTTGAGGTTGACATTATGATTATTTTGATTATGCAGAAAAGATCACTTTTAGAAATTCAAAAATATACTCAAGCTGGATAGTTAAAGCCATCATGCCAAGACCAAATCTCTCTCCAAAGCATGTAGTCTTTTCTGCCTTATAAGAAGACAGCGATTTGCCATCACCTTTACAGAAAGGAACAATAAGCAAAAATACTGCAGTATTCTTTGCAGATAAAGTTAGGATTTCAAAGGAGTGTATAACCCTTCTAGGAAGACTTCAGTGGCACTGTAGTGATGGAAGGCTTTTTTTTTTTT